CACGCACACGCACACACAGCACTAATTTAAATTCTCGTTTTATTTTCATGGTAATGTTAACTGATGTAATAAGTGTATGGTGTAACATAAAAACAGTTACAAACATCTGTATGCATATTTACATTGTATATTTAAGAAAGCTACATCTGTATACAGAAAATACATCTATGACATGAGTTACAGAACTATAAATATTACATCATATATTTAGTATTTTCAAACCATGATAGAAATAGCTATACATAGATATAAAGCGACAGAAGCGGAGCGTTAGGAGCGAGGCTGCGGCGGATGTGAGGCACTTCTTCAGATGGAGGAGAATGAAGCCGACGGCACTAAAACTAAACGAGTTCACAGGCTCAGAAAGCACTGCTGTGCTGCAGAATCAAGAACACCAACACTATGAGAAGCATTCCAGAGTCATATTACCATGAATAGAGAAGAACACGAATAAAACAGTAGCAGCACCTGATTAAACTGGTAGTCACATGAATGCAACGTTACACGCGAAAGCGTTGCATAATCCGCGAGGAACCGCAGAAATCCAGATTCGCCTCCAGCCGGTTCTCCACAGACGCCAGCGAATCACCAGAAGCAGCAACACAAAAGCACGGCTAGGGTTAAACCATACTGGAGAGCTAGATCGCGATTAACAGTCATCCCATTAAATCTTGCGATGCGGTTAGTGATCGTTTCTAGCTTCAAAAACGTTTGTTCAGCGCACTATTTACTGTCATCGTTCGGCGATACAAAACTAGAGAGAATCTCCATTAAAACCTCGGACGTCGTCTCCACTACTTTTCAATGTGAAACAGTATTAAGATGTGACCTATGTACACGATGCTGTGAAATCAAACTGCGGGAATAGTGTTGGTATGTACAGCCGGAGGTCCGAGAGCGTCTCGTGGAAATACTTGCATAGAAAGTAAACCGTCGTTCTTTCCCACAACACTGACAGATCATGTTTGCACAAAACGTCTGATTAATAGTCACAACAAGCATCATAAACATGCATTTAAAGCGAGCGCGTATATTGTCCTCCGTGTTGAACGTCCCTCAGGGTTTGAAAGCGTCTGCGGTCAAAGTTTGGATCAGAAGGATCCCTTGTGGGATTATAATAAGTGCTGCTGGACTGAAAGCATCAGCGCTTTAGGAAGCGTGCATCCCGAACACGATGCAGGAGCAAAACAAGAGCACAAGAGTCTGTATCTTACCGCATTTCTCCGTCTGGTACTGATAGCGTGGAAAAGAAAAGGCCACGGTTAATAACTGCACGTAAACGAGGAAATCCCTTTAGCGTACGTGTTACACCGTGTCCTAACTGCAATAAAAGGCATCTTTTTTTAGTTTTTGTCCTAACTAGCTGCGGCGATAACACTTTCGATAAATAGATAATAGATACATTTCTATTTTAGAAACTGTTTGCATGTCTGCGACGTCGCGGCTGGAACAACAACGACATGCAAACTATACGACAGTGATAATCTCAGGAACTGATTATGTGCTC